CACCTCTTCCCTTCCCCCCTCCTCCCCCTCTCCCATGCCCTCCCCCCGGGAACTGTCAGTCCCGTTGTTTTCTCCTCCAGATTGTTCATCCAGCCTATCCTATCCAGACAGGCCTGAATATGTGATTCTATTAGACAAACATGGAATGATACAAAAGGCATCATAAAGCAATTTAAGGAATACACAGAGCCCATCTACCAAAAATAACTGCTTGCAATCAATCATTACAAGAGAAAACATATGATCATCAATGAACGGTACTGAAAGAAGTCCAAATTTTGCTTCAGGCATTCATGAAAAGCAAGGTCCAGAAACTGATGGTATACCAATTGAGATATTTCAACAAGTTGATTAAACACTGGAAGAACTCACACAACATTGTCAAGAACATTTGAAGACTACAACCTGGCCAGTCATCTGAAAGAGATCTCTATTTGTGCTCATTCCAAAGCAAGGTGACTACCAGACCACTGAAGTTATTGAACAATTTAATTTGTGTCACATGGAAGTACAATGTTGTTGAAGTTAATTCAACCACAATTGCAACCAGACATCTATAGGAAACCGACAGAAATTCAAATTGTATTCAGAAGAGAATGTGATATGACAGATATCATTGCTGATACATCTTGGCTGAATGCAGAGAAAACTACAAAGGTGAATACTTGTGTTTTATTGAGACTATGGGAGGTGAAGAGCAGCGAATTCCAAAGTGGGTCTGACTGCCTCTGCTTTCATAATAAGAAATGGAAAACGTTGAAAGACAATGATGACAAAGGACTGTATGGTGACCACGTGAGACCAAACATCCTCAGTGAGGTCTCAGGATTTGGGTGGACTGGGACTCCATTGATTTAGGGTGTGAACTTAAAGCTAGGGGAATGGTGGGCTCCTCATAAATAGGTGAATTTCATTGGAAATAGTGAGTGAACAAAGAAGGAAGAACAGATTTGGCACAAGTAATGCCGGAGAAATTATTTTATTTCCAATAAAAACCTATGGTCTTTCCTACCTGTGGGCTTGGTGGTGAAGGCAAAATTCACAGGGGATGTGGGGGTCACAGCTGCTGGGGGAAGAAATAGCAGGAAGGAAATGAACGGAATGTTAGTATTAGGAAATGGCAATGGGAAAAGGATAATGGCTTAAAGAGTATGGGCAACTCAATTCCCAGTCTATGCATAGTCTCTGTAGACTTTTCTGATGCCAAGTATGGGAGGATTGGGTGGCAAGTACAGCCAAACCAAATTAACTCACTGGTCTGGAGTCACTTCTGGCCTATAGCCACCTTATAGAACAGGGCAGCCTTGCTCATGTGAATTTTGGAGAATGTAACACTTTAATGGGGTAGAGAGCCTCATCTTTCTCCTGGTAAGTATGTGGTGGTTTTGAGAAGCCGACCAAACCCATGTCCTGGTAAGTCCAGCAGGACCTATTAGGAGATGGAAGGGGTTCCCAGGAACACAGGGAAAGTGAGGTCTGTAATACTCACTTTGGGAGGTGGTGGCTGGTTCCCAGTAGGTGTAACCTGCAGATGGTAAGGAAGAGAGAGGAGTGACATTCAATGAGGATGCAATTTGTCGACAGGAGAAAAGGTAACAGGACAAATTCAAGTCTGATTCCTAGCTAGTGTCTAGCACGGACCAAAGTCCTGACCTTTACAGTGAAGACATAGTCCCTTAAATCACTTTAACTGCAGAGGCCCAAATAGAAGCTTAAATTTAGGGCAGAGACCTGCCCAAGAAAGGCTTAGCCAGTCACAGACAGGAGTCACTCATCCCAGCAGGGTTGCTCACCATTGACATAGAGACTGCTCTTGTCCAGAGTGTAGGGGCCCAGTTGGGTAACTCCCTGGGTCAGATTGTTCAGCTCCCAATAAATCCTCTCTCTGTCCAGTATGGGGTGTTCAGAGTCAGGTTGGTGGGTGCAGATGGCATCCATTCTGGTGGCTTCACCATCCTTCTTGGGTCTGGGGAAAGAAGATACGGTATTGACAACAAACATGTCCCCACAGATGGGTCCCTGTAATTCTTTAAGCAGAAGAGAGGATGGAGAGTTGGCAAAAAGAGACAGGGAAAGTGCTGGATTTGGGATGAAAGCAAATGGAGAAGGAAGACATGTATCCCTTGGGGCAGAATTTTACACTTCAAGGAAATGCCCTTCTTGGTCAGAGCCAGGGACAGAGAGAAATCAGAGGGTGCCCAGAGAGGAGACAGTCCTGCTAATAGGCTCCCTAGAGATTGTGGTTGAGTGGGGACGAGAAGTTGCCCGACTCCTTGAGCATCAGTCTCCTGAATTCTCCCTCGGTTGAGCGTGCTGTATCTAGCAGGGTATAGGGCCACTGAACAAATGCTTTGGGTTTGGCAGCCCCTTTCATATCCCTGCCAGCTGTCGTGTCTAGGTTTCTCACCTCAGTGAAGTCAGTGTGCAGGCAGAGTAGAGATGTCCAATACTGGTCTTATTGAACAAGGGCTGAAGCTGGTGAGAAATGAAAAGGACGTCAGAAGGAGGCCCTGAGGGACTGGGTGTTTGGGTGGATAGGTATGAGGTGGAGCTGCCCAGGTGATTATTAACGGAGCTCTCACCAGACGCTGCAGGATCCTCTCAGTGAAGTTGAACTTAGCAGATCCGGGGATTTCCATGTCATCTGTGTAGTGCAGGTTAGTGATGGTGAAATTGAGTGTAAAAGGAATGAGGGCAGGTTCAAAAGCTGCATTGGAGAGGAAAAGAAACATTTCATTTGCACCATATTAATGTTCAAGTAAGACCTCTGGTGACTTTGTGGTCATGGACTTGGTTGCCCATCACAAGGTTGATTTTTGTGTGTGTTCATCATTTGCTCCACAATATAGGGTTGTGTCAGTTGACTTTCATAAATATTTAACGCCTTGTATATTCTGTGGGACAATTCTCTTTCCTGAAGTGTTGCTAGTAGACAAAATTATCTGATAAGGGTGGGCTAGAATTTACGTTATTTGGCTTTAATGGCAATGGCCATGGGGGAGCCCTTGTCATAAGCACTAGACGTGGATTATGAGATCCATCTGGCGCAGGAGCTATAGGAGGAAACATTCTGGAATTAATGAAACATAGGAAACTGTATTCTCTCCTTAAAGAAGCATGATTCAAGCACTAAAGGAGCCACTCCATTGGAGAAAGTCGAGGCTTTCTCCTCCCACAAAGTGTGACAGTCTCAGAAATTGACAGGGGCAGTTCTACTCTGTCCTATAGGATTGCTATGCATCAGAATTGACTTCATGGCAGTGAGAGCAAGGAGCTCAGGTGGCAACATGGGTTATATGTTGGGCTGATAACCATAAAATCAGCAGTGTGGAGCCATCAGTCACCCTGCAGGAGTAAGATGAGGCTTTTTGTCCTGTAAAGATGTACAGTCTGGGAAACCCACGTGGGTAGCTCCACTCTCTCCTACCGGGTTGCTCTGCAGCAGAATAGACTGGATGGCAGTGAGTTTTTCATTTGTTGTCTTAATGGGTGCAAACCTGTGGGTGTATTGATGACTAAGACTTGGTATTGTTGTTAGGTGAGCTGCCAAGTCTGTCCAGATCATGGTGATGCTATATAAAGCACAGGGAAACCCTGCCCAGCCTTGTGCCATCCTCACAGTGATGGCTGTGTTTGAGCCCGTTGTTGCACCTGCTGTGTCAGTCCATCTCTTCCTGTTTTTCACTGTCCATCTACTTTACCAGGCATGGTGTCCTCCCTAAGGAACACGATATCCCTCTTGATAAGATGCTTACAATATGAGAGATGAAATGACAACACACTCTCTCATAAGGAGCATGCTGGATGTACTTCTTCAAAAATCGATATGTACATTCTTCTGGCAATCCATGGTGTGTACAATATTCTTTGCGACCCTGATAATTAAAATGCATCAATTATTCTCTAGTCTTTATTAACTGTCCAGCCTTCAAACATATGAGATGACTGGAAGTGACTAAGAGCATCTTAGTGTTCCAAGTGACATCTTTAATTAAAACATTTAAAGGGGTCCTTTGCCACATATTTATTCAATGCCATATATTGTTTGGTTTCTTGACTGCTGCTCCATTGGTGTGGATTGTGGTTCCAACTAAGGTGTCATCTTTGAAAACTTCATCCCCCCCACACACACCTTTTCTCATCATGCTGTTTATTGGTCCATCTGTGAAGGTTTCTGTTTTCTTTATGTTGAAGTGCAATCTATATTGAAGGCTGTGGTCCTTTCTTCTCGTCAGTAATTCAAGTACAATTTGCTTTCAGAAAGTAAGTGTGTATTGTCTGTACATTACAGACTGTTAATGAGTCTTGATTCCTGATGTCATTTTCCTCTTCATATGAAGGAATGACAAAAAGTTTGTAGTAAAATGGAATTGCAATCTAATGCAAAATTCCTTCATAATTCTAGCTCCTTGGGTTATTTGGATAATATTCAGATTGAATAGTGGAAAGATACAACTCTGATGCCCACCTTCCCAGTTTTAAACCATGCCACATCCCCTTGTTCTGTGCAAACAACTGCCTCTTGGTCTGTTCACAGGTTTTGCATAGCACAAATAAATATGGGGAATTCACATTTGTCATACTGCTATGCATACTTTGTTATGATCCACACAAAGTCAATAAAACAAAGGTAAACATCTTTCTGTTATTCTCTATTTTCAGGCTAGATTCATGTGACATCATCAATGATATCATTCGTTCTTGTTCTCCTTTTAATTCGGGCTGGATTTCCCCAAGTTCCTTGTCAGCATACTGCTCCAATGGTTTTTGAATTGTCTTGAGCAAAATTTTGCTTGTTTTGACACTATTTGATTATTTCTACATTCTGTTGGATCACCTTTCTTTGGAATAAACATAAATATGGGTATTTTTCAATTGTCTGACCAGGAAGCTGTCTTCCAAATTTCTTGGTGTTGATGAGCGAGCACTTCCAGCATTGCATCAATTTATTGAAACATCTAATTTTATATCCCATATCTGGAGTTTTGATTTTTCAGAGCAGCTTGGACTTCTTAATTTAATGCCTTTGGTTCTTGGTATTATTCTACCACCTGAAATGGTGGAACATCACCGATTCTTTTGAGTATAGTGATTGTACTTCTTCCATAGTCTTTTGATGCTTCCTATATTGTCCATTATTTTACCCCAAACCCTTTAGTGTTGCAATTTGAGGCTTTAATTATTTGAAAATTCCTGAATGTGTTCTTCCCTTTCAATTTTATATGTCCAGAGCCTTGCACATTTCATCACAAGACGATGCTTTATGTTATTGAGCTGCCCTTTGGAATCTTCTGTGAAATTCTTTAACTTCACCATTTGTTCTAATGACTGTAACTAATTTACATCCTAGGTCAAGTTTCAGAGTCTCTTCTGATATTAATTTTGGTATTGTCTTTCTTTCCTGACTTTAATGACCATTTGCTTCCTTCATATTTGATGCCCTTGTTGTCATACAACAACTTGTCTGATCTTTGGTCATTATTGTTCAATGCCTCAATTTATTCTTGAGATGATCTCTAAATTTAGATAGGATATACTCAAGGTTATATATATATATATATATATATATATATATATATATTTAATAGATTTACTATCCTGGATTTTGTATACAAAAAAATAATACAAAACAAAACCAAAAAATCAAACAAAACCAAAAACAATGACAAAATGAAACAGACGAAAACCTCAATAGAAAAGAAAGAAGAAAATAATAAAATCTGAAGAAAAAAACAACTTTTAAATGGCCAAAAGGGAGATCAAATGATAACTCACTGTCATGGAATTGACTCTAACTCATAGCAACACTATTGGACAGGGTAGACCTGCCATTGTGAATTTCTGAGTGTAACTCTTTACAGGAGTAGAAAACGCCATCTTCCTCTCATGGAATGGCTGGTGGTTAGCAGTCCAACGCATAACCAATATGGCACTAGGGGTAAGGTGTTACATTTTAACCTAAGTATACCTGCCATCGCTGACTTTACAATACTCTCTGTCTGATAGCAAATCTAGTCACATCCCTGGAGTAAGGCCGAAAGGGTTTCAGCAGACCTAACCCATGTGGGGACCCAGCAAATGGCTTTTGGTCTTCCACTGTCATCCATAGCCTTCTGAAAACCGAGTGCTCAGAATTTAAGCTCTGATACAATTCCCTTCTCCAGATTTGAATTTTTATTATTTTTCATTCTTGGATCACACAGGCTGGTGTGCTTCTTCCATGTGGACTTCGATGATGCCTCACCTCGATGGCTACTTGTTTTAACATCAGATTTGGAGAACCCAGACACTATTATTCCTGATTGCTGTGCACCATCTGGATTCTTCACTACCCTTTGCCATAGCACTCATATCTTCAGTGATCTCCTCATGAGGCCTATACTTCCGCTCTCATGAAATAAGGTATATACTGTATGGATGGAGTTGTGTTCTTTCAGAATATGTATAGAATATCAATCACAAGGATCAACATATAACTCCCTCCAAGGGGGATGAACAACAGAAAAGTGGTAGCAGAGGACAATGTAAAATATGAAAATAACAATCTTTAACTTACCAAGGGTTCATGAGGGAAGGCGGGTGGGGTAGGGAGGGGTAAAAGTGAGGAGCTGATACCAAGGGCTCAAGTAAAAAGAAAATGTTTTGAAAATGATGATGGCAGCATAGGTACAAATGTGCTGATACAATGGAAAATGTATGGATTGTGATAAGAGATGTAAGGGCCCCCAATAAAAGTATTTAATTAAAAAACATGATTCAAGGCACTCATTTCTATATGGGATGTTTTTGTAATGCCAATGAGGTAATACTTATAGGGTGTGTTCTAACCTAATTGCTTCTAAGGTTTAAATATCATAGATTAGACATAGGTACATAATCAGGAAAAAAAAAGGAATATAGACATTATGTTAAGGTCACCAAGAAATCAAGGAATATTGGGGTGGAAAACCTGAGTGAGGCATTTATTTTCCTTGGAGCAGAGAGAGAGCCTTCTCTTATAGCTGGTATTTGAATGTTGACTTGTAACAGCATGCATTTTGAAAAATGAATTTTATTCTTTCAAATATCCCACTTGTACTATTTCTGTTACAGCATCATAAGGAATCTAACATATGTTTCAGTCTCTGGTTTCATGGTCAGGACAAGGACTGGGAAAGTAAGCTTCAGGAGATCTGTTGAAGATGAGTCCAGGAGAGGTTAGGGGGAATCACCAGCCCAATACGTCAGCCAAGTTTATCAAAGAAGGCACCAATTCATGTGTGACTATACGAATGGGTAAACGTTTGATAAATGGTAACCCATAGCTGGAAAGTATTCCAGATGGGATGTACAAGCAAAGGTCCGGTAGGAGGGCAGAGAAACTGTACACAAAGGGTCCAAAGTCCATTCAAGGTGTCCACAGAAATACATGCGACAGAAGGGATCTTTGGACTCAGTAAGGGGAACAAGAATGGGGCTAACAAGAATGGAGGCTGGCCATGACTTGAAGTTAGATAAAATGATCCAAAGATTGTCCTTTAGAAAGAGTTAGATCCACATATATAGGTGCGAGTGGTGGCTACTACCATAACCATAGCAGAAGATGAATAAAAGTTTATGTGTAAGAAGTGAAGTGGATGATGAAAAAGGAAAGTCCTGAGAAATGGATGGACGTGGAAGGTGGATCTAAGGATGGCCAAGGTTGGCATGGGTGACTTTGAATTTGGTGATGATGGAAGGAGCAGGTTAGAGATACGATGATGACTTCTGGGTGGATATATTGAGATCAATAGACCTCAGTGATGTCTTGGGTGGTGGGGCTATGGACACTGGGGTGTGGATTTGGGTATCTAGAAGTTATGGCATAGGCAGAATCCACATAAATGGATGAGTTTCTTTGGAGAGAGTGAATGAAAAATGAAGGAAGAAATGACTTGTTACCCATGATGTTGGCGAAATGATTTTATCATCTATAAAAACATGTGTCTTTCCTACCTGTAGGCTTGGTGATGTCAGGCATCATAGAGGTTGTCGGGAAGGATGTGGAGGTCACAAGTGCTGTAGAGGAAACACAGAATTGAAATCCAAAATGAGTTGACTCCAATGAAATGGCAATGGGAAGTGGAGGTGGTGTACTAAGTTATGGAAATATAGTTTTCTCTACAGTTCCCTAAGTGTGGAAATAGAGCATGTATCTCGGAAGGCTGGGAAACTCCAGGTATTTATCTCACTAGGGTGGAAATGGCATTTTATCTCATGAGGGTGGGCAACTCAGTCTACACCTTACATATATATTTTGGACCATTTTCATCCCTGATTATAAGTCATAGGGGAAGGGATTAGAAAGTCCAGCAAGCCTTATGTTCAGAAGAAATTGAGTGGTCATGGGCGCATGGGAAAAGTCATATCCCATGAGTGAATACTCACTGTTGGAAATGGTAGTTGTGATCCAGTGGGTGTAACCTGCAGATATGAAGAAGGGAGAGGGAGTGACATTCAATGGGGAGGGAAATTGGCTACAGGAGAGATAGTGGCTGGAAAATTACAGGTTTTGTTCAATAAAAGGAAGACAAAACATCGATCTGCTAGAGCTCAAAATTCACATAGCTTCTACCCACATAGCCGAGGTAGAGGTCCGCTGGCCCAGGGTAAACTTGAACTTGGGGCAGAGACCTGCCCTAGCAGGGCCGACCAAGTAAGGGGAGGCGGGAGAACCCTTATCACAGCAGGGCTTCTCACCATTGACGTAGAGACTGTCCTTGTCCAGAGTGTAGGGGCCCAATTGGGTGATGCCTTGAGTCAGCTTGCTCAGTTCCCAGTAAAGCCTCTCTCTGTCCAAGCTAGAACTCTCAGGGTCAAGGCGGTGAGTGCAGATGGCATCCACTCTGGTGGATTCCCCATCATGCTTGGACCTGGAGAAGGTGGGCAGGGAGAATGACAGCAAATGGCATCCCAACGATGGGTCCTAAGACTCATTAGGAGTAAGAGAGGATGGGGTCAGAAATGAGACAGGTGAAGAACTGGATTTAGGATTAAAACAAGTGGAAAAGACACATTCAGAATTTAGCAGGAAAATTGTGCTCCTTCATGAGAGGAAGGATCAGAGATAATTTAGGGAGTGGCCAGCAAGAGGCCATCCAGTATCTACATGTGGCAGGGACAACCAGAAGATGCCTTGGTCCTGGAATATGTTGTATGAATACACAATGTGAATATGTAATATGAATTTGTTAACTCCACTTCTACTGAGGAAGCTCTGTCCTCTATCCTCTGCAGAGAAAGCAGAACACATCAAATGCCCTGGGTTTGGCAGTATGTGTGGTAGTCCTGGAAGCAGTCTTGTCCAGGGTCTCACCTGAGTGAGGTCAGTGTGCAGCCCTTGTAGAGGAAGCCAACACTGGTTTTATTGAACAAAGGCCCAAGCTGGTGAGAAAAGAGAAAGAGGTCAATAACAGGGCTTACCATCAAGGGGCTGAGTGGTTGTGTAGATCAGTATACGGGGGAGTTACCCAGGTGGTCATTATAGGGCTCTCACCAAGCGCTGCAGGATCCTCTCCGTGAAGTTGAACTTAGCAGAGCCCAGGAGTTCCATGTCATCTGTGTAGCGCAGGTTAGTGATGGTGAAGTTGAGAGTGAAAGGAACTGGAGCAGGTTCAGTAGCTGCAGTAGGGAAGGAAGAGAAAACTGTCCATTTGAACTTGTGCAGCAGCACTCTCAGTGGATTAAGTACACAACAACCATCTATAGGCACTGTGGGAAGGAACATTCCAGAATTCACAAGAGATAAGCACCTAGATTAGCCATTCAATCAGTATTTATTGACACTTGTGTGCAAATTTTTGTGCAAGTGGTTTATAACAGGGTATCAACCTACATGTTGGAACCTTGAACTCACCCCAGTGATCTTGCATGAAGATTACTGCCTAGGAAACCCAATAGAGCATTTCACTCTGTGGCACTAGGTGCCACCACGAATCATAATTGACTTCACTGCACTGGGTTTGGTGCTGTAGGTTAGGGATGGGTATGGAGCTCTGTGGCAGTCTTTTTTGAGGTCACATGTGAATAAGGTGGACTTGTATGCATGGAGTGTACCCCTAAAATATGTGTTAGAGTATTGGGGCCCTAAGTTGTATAATCGGGTCTTTTCCAGTTTGGGAACAGTTTAAAAAATTATATTTAATAGTTCATAGCCGTGTAAGGTGTTTACGGAATCATTTTGGAGTTATTGAAAGATCAGATGGGACACAGAAGAACATGCAAAAAGAGGGCAAAATAGAGGCCACCTAAGAAGTCCTAATGAACCCAGGGATGTTGGGCTGTAGAGGCTAAAAGAGGCAAGTATCTCTATGCAGAACTGATCCCTGAAATCTGAGGGGGAAAAAATTTGTTCCTTAGCAGCCTTGCCCTTAATGGTATTTTTGTTACATCATCATTGTTTAATATATCACATCATCCCTCAGTGTTGTGCCAGGGCATTATCCATATGAGTACCCCGCAGGGATGACAAGGAGTCATGTGTGGGAAGGAAGTGTGCTGAACCCAGTCACTCAGGAAAACTGCTGATCAAAGAAGGCCATGGGAGATACTCTGGAGGAAGAAGAGATGAGCATTGATGGTGAGTGGAGGTGGGAGGCAAGGAAGATGGGGTGGCAAGATTGATGCACCTGCCTCTGTTTGGGTAATAAGGAAAGAAGGAGATCTGAGGGATAGCTATGGCTGATGACTTTCGGGTAGACACGTGAGATCAAGGGGGTGAGCAAGGGAACCGGTGTCACTGTAGGATATGGATTTGGCCACCCAGAGGAGAGGGGGTTGGCAACTCCACATAAATAGACGAATTTCCCTGGGCTCAGTGAGTGAAACATGGGGGAAGAAAGGATTTCGCACAAATAATATCGGAGAAGTGATTTCATTATCAATAAAAGCCCTTCCTACCTGTGGGCTTGATGGTGAAGGTAGGCTTCATGGAGGATGTTGGGAAGGACGTAGAGGTCACAGCTGTTTGGGAAGACACACAAAGATGGAGATTCAAAGTGTGTTAGTTCTAAGGAAATGGTCATTGGGAGTGGGGGGGCAGGGAGGTAGGGAACTAAGCGATGGAAACGCATAGCTCTTTCTATGGCACTTTCAATCTGGGAACAAGACCTTCATGACTTCCAGAGGATGGGAAACTCAGCCCATATTCTACACATGGCTATGGACCTTTTTCTTTCCTCATAGTAAGTGGTAGGTGAGCAGTTGGAAGGTGAAGCAGAACTCATTGTTCAGGAACTCTGGGGTGCACCCAGGCATCTGGGGATGTGGGCATCTGTAATACTCACTGTTGGGGGTGGTGACTAGGGCCCAGTGGGTGTAACCTGCAGATGGTGGAGAAGACAGAGGGTGTGATATTCAATCAGCAGGCAACATGGAAATGATGGAAATGGGAGCAAGACCAGTAGAGATGTGATTCCTTATAAGGAAGATAGCACCCCAAGTGGCAGGCATCAAAGCCCCTACCCACACAGAAGTGACAAAGTCCTTGTTCAAACCCCCATAGGAGAAACCGAGATGGAAGCCTAAATTTGGGCCAGAGATCTGCTTCCGTAGGACCACACAGCAAAGGCCAATGACACTTATCCCACAGGACCTCTCACCATTGACGTAGAGACTGTTCTTGTCCAGAGTGTAGGGGCCCAATTGGGTGACTCCTTGGGTCAGCTTGCTCAGCTCCCAGTAAAGCCTCTCTCTGTCCAGGCTAGGACTCTCAGGGTCAGGGCGGTGAGTGCAGACGGCATCCACTCTGGTGGATTCCCGGTCCTTCTTGGGCCTGGGGAAGGAGAATGGAGGGAATGGCATCAAATGGTCTCCCCACTGAGAGGCCCTAAGATTCTAAGAGTAGGGGAGGAAAAGGCCAGAGGAAATTAGACAGGTAAAGAGCTGGTTGTGGGATAAAGTAAGTGCAGTAGAGACATTTAGTTGAAGGGAATTCCTGGAGACACAGATGAACAACTAAGAAAAGGCTATCATTGTTCTGAAAGTAACAAAGTAAATTCAGAGGGTCAAAAAGAGAAGCCAGTCCTACTCATGGGCTCTCCAGAATACAAGGATAGGAGTAAGGACTAGAAGATGCTTTAATCCTTCAACAGGGGCCTCTTGAATTCCACCTCGGCTACGGATAATGTTTCTGGCAGGGCCAAAAGAAAATCAAACACATCTCTTCCAACCTGGGAGTACTTGTATAGTCCTGGCGGCTGTCTTGTCAATGTTTCTCACCTGAGCGAGGTCAGTGTGCAGCCAAAGTAGAGGGGGCCAATACTGGTCTTATTGAACAAGGGCCCAAGCTGGTGAGAAAGAAAAGGTGGTCAGAAGGAGGGTCCAAGGGACTGAGTGCCTGTACAGGCAGATATGAAGTGGGGCCACCTAGATGTTCATTATTGGGCTCTCACCAAGTGCTGTAGGATCTTCTCTGTGAAGTTGAACTTTGAGGAGCCTAGGCCTCCCAGGTCTTCTGTGTAGTGCAGATTGGTAATAGTGAAGTTGAGGGTGAATGGAACCAGGGAAGGCTCAGCAGCTATATTTGGGGAGGAAGATTATATATATATATATATATATATATATAATTCGACACACACATTTGAATCATAATAATGGTCAAGCACTGAAAGCACTCATTTATCTATGCAAGTAAATTTGGAAGATGGGTACTTGTTCAGTTGACTGGAAGAGATACATATGTGGGTGTATTCCAAAGAAAGATGAGCCAACAGAATGCTCAAACTATAGAACACTATCATTGATATTGAACACTAGTAAAATTTTGCTTCAGATCATTGAACAATTGTTGCAGCAGTACATGGACAGGGAACTTCCAGAAGTTCAGGCCAGATTCAGAAGAGGATATCATTGCTCATGTTAGATGGCTCTTGCCTCAAAGCAGAGAACACCAGAAAGATGTTTACTTGTGTTTCATTGACTATGCAGAGGCATTTGACTATGTGGATCTTAATACACTGTGGACAACTTTGGGAATTCCAGAATGCTTCATTGTGCTCATTTTGAACTTGTATATGGATGAAGAGGCAGTTGTTGGAACACAACAAGGAACTACTGCATGGTTTAAAGTCAAGAAGTGTGTGTGTGTGTGTGTGTGTGTGTGTGTTGTATCATATCACCATTATTGCTCAATCTATATTCTTAGAAAATCTTAGAGGAGAGTTATATGGATTATATGAAGAAGAGTTTGGCATCAGGAATGGAGGAAGGCATATTAACAACCCGTGTTATGCAGCTGACACAACTTTGCTTACTGAAAGTAAGGAGGACTTGAATCATTTGCTGACGAAGATCAAGGCTTGTAAGGAGGACCAAAATCCTCACAATGGGACCAATAGGAAACATCATGATAAATAGAGAAAAGGTTGTGACAGTGTCAATCCATCTTGTATAGGACCTTTCTCTTTCTCACTGCCCCTCCATTTTGCCAGGCATGATGTTCTTCTCCAAAGACTGGTCTCTCCGGACAGCATGTCCAAACTACTTGAGAATAAGTTTTGCCATCCTGGTCTCCAAGGAGCATTGTGGCTGTCTTTGGTCCAAGACAGATATGTTTACTCTTTTGTAAGTCCATGGTACTTTCAATATTCTTCACCAGCACCATAGTGCAAATGCATCAATTCTTCTTTTGTCTTCCTTATTCAATGTTTAATGTTCACATGCATATGAGGCACTTGAAAATGCCACGGTTTGGGATCAAGTGCACCCTAGCACCTTAGTCCTCAAAGGAGCATCCTTGCTCTTCACCCCTCCATAGAGGTCTAGTGCAGCAGATTTACTCAATGCAATGCATCATTTCCACTAGCAGTGGAATAGTGACAGTGCTTGGCTGTAGGAACTTAATGAGGAAGCAGTATAGAATTCACAAGATTGAGAAGCTTGACTCACTCATTTGACTATCATTTATTGAACACTAAATGAGGCTTTCTACTCTCATAAGAAAGGGTTCCTGGGGGGTCTGGTGGGGAGCGAGGGAATAAAGGGGAGAAGATATCAAGGAGTTCAAGAAAGAAGAAAATATTTTGAAACTGATGTAGCAAGTGTACTATACTGCTTGATGTAATTGAACTATGGAGTGGTATATTTGTATTAACTCCTAATAAAATGGTTTTGAAGACAAGAAAAGAAAATAGAATTTACAGTCTTGGAAACCCACAGAGGCAGTTCTATCCCATCTTACAGGGTGCCTGTGAGTCAGAATCAATTCAATGGCAGTGAGTTAGGTTTTTCAGTAGCTGTACATGTCCTTGGGCAGTATAAATGGTCTGCAATGGGCTGCTAATTTAAATTACAGGGTTCCAAATGTATCTGGATCACTGACCCCTTTTCTGAAAAGAAATTACTTTACATGACCACTAGTAATGAATAACTTTTGTGCTGCAGCTCATAATCCAGGATAAGGCAGAGCAATCTTCTATCTGTTGTGCATCAAGTTGCTCTGCGTCAGAACAGACTTGATGGATTATTCCAGCACCCCACTAGGAGCTGTATTACCTACTAAGGGATACACTGAAAAGGTTTACAGTTCAACCCACCCTGGTGATCTCTTTCCATAAATATGATAGCCAAGGAAACCCTTTGGTGCATTTGCACTGTCTAACACTTGGGGTCACTAAGAGTCAGAGTCAAGTTTACAGTGTCAGGTTTGATATTTTGGTGTTAGAATGGGTGTAAAACCTTGTGGTGGACTCTGTGGGTTGATAGATGAATAAGATGTACTGTTATGGATTGAACTGTGTCCCCTGAAGCTATGAATGAAATCCTAATTGGTGTAACTGTGGATGTCATCCAGTTTGGGCAGATTTTTCTTTGTTATGGTAGTAAGATCTTACCTATATCAGGTGTGAACTAAAACCTAATAATTTCTGAATTACTGAAAAGAGCAGATTAGACAGAGAAGGACAAGTACAAACAGGGAAGACAGATGCCAGATGAAGATTCCCAAGGAATGTTGGCCTATAGAAACTGAAAGAGACAAGAATTATTGCCCAGATATGATGGACAGAATGTTTCCCAAATGCTGGTGCCTTCAGGCTCTGAAATTCTGAGAATATAATGTTTTGTTCCTGAAATAAAAGCATTTGCGGTGTTTTGGTTACAGCAACAGTAGATAAGTAAAACCTGTAATCTCCTAGTATTATGGCAAGAGGGGTGACAAAACCAAATACTGTAGGGACATCTCAGAGAAATGTGTGTCAAGAAGGTAAACTCAAGCCAATGACTCAGACCTGCTTCCCCAAAGTACCATTTCAGTACCAAAGGATGAATAAAAGTTAGATAATCAGTAGCTGAAACTGAAAAGAGTGCTCTGGCCCGGAAGGACATCCCAGGAAAGGCCAGTTACTAGTCCAAAGCAGCTATATATGCTGAACATGAAGTTCTTTGATTGCGGTCACACAGAAGTGTAGACACGAGTCTGGAAATATCCTCTGAGCCTCTAAAGGGAGCCTGTGACTAACAAGAACAGAAATTAGACATGACTTGAAGCCAGGTAGGCCCATCCCGATATTTTCACAAAGAAATAGGTAGGCCATCGATAGTTCATTCTATTTTACATAGGGTAACTGTGCATTAGAACTGGCTTGCTGGCACCTAATAACTCACAGTAGACAGGCTGTAATGAAGGCGACCACAGTCCTCCTAAGGAAAGATACCAAGGCCTGAAAGAAGGTTTAGGTGATTCAGATGCAGTCAAAGGAAAGGCTGGAGAGAAATTCAGGAAGGAGTAGAGGAGAACTGCAGGGATTGATGGATGTTGGAAGTGGAACAGGGAGAGCCAGCGTTGGCACACCTGCTTCTGCTTTGGTGATGAGGGAAGAAACACATTTGAGGGACAATGATGACTTCAGGTGCACATGTGAGACCCATCAGTCTCAGTGATGTCCTAGGAGGTTAGTGGACAAGGTGTTCATAGTTGCTGGGTCTTGTGAATTTGGACACCAGATGCTAGGTGGCCAGGGGAGTGTCACATCTATGAATGAGTTACCTTGGAGAGAGTGAGTGAACAATGAAGGAAGAAATGATTTGGTATAAATAATTCTGGAGGAAAACTTTGCCACCAATAAGAGCATGAGACCTTGCTTACCTGTAGGCTTGTTGAAGGTAGTTGCCAAAGAGGATGCTGGGACGGATGTAGAGATCACAGCTGCTGGAGAAGAAACACCAGAATTAAAAGGCAAAATGCATGAGCTCTAAGGGTAATTTAGTTAACTTTAAATGGCAATTGTTTTGGGTGGTGAGGTGGTGTCCCAAGTTATGGAAATGTACTATTCCCTCTATGACCCTTTCATCCTGGATACAAGATGTTGACTTTAATGTGGGAGGGGTTGGGGTGGGGAGTAGTTTATAATGGATGCATGTTCCTTGAATCCTTTTCCTTCCTGATGATAACTAGCGGGGGAGGGATTGGCAAATCAAGCAGCCCTTATTGCTTAGAAGGTGTGGTTTGGTCCCAGGCACCCAGAGCTATTGGGCTCTGTAATACTCACTGTGGGACGTGGTAGTCGAAGCCCAGTGGGTATATCCTGCAGGTGATGAAGAAGGGGAGGGTGAGATATTCAATGAGGAGACAACTTGAAAAGGACAAATGGTGGCTGTACCATTTAGCTCTGATTCCAAACAAGAAAGACAGGGCTCCCATGTGACAGGGATCAAAGGCTACACATTCCTTTTCTGCCGGTAAAGGACAAAGGCCTTTTAGCCTTCCCATAGGAGAGACCCAGAGGGAAGTCTGATTTTGAGACAGAGACCTGCCCTAGCAATACCTACACAGCAAGGGAGAGGAGACCTTCACTCCAGCAACTCTCTCACCATTGACATAAAGACTGTCCTTGTCCAGAGTGTATGGACCCAATTGGGTAACCCCAAGGGTCAGCTTGCTCAGCTCCCAGTACAGTTTCTCTCTGTCCAGCACGGGGCCCTCAGGGTCAGGGTGGTAGGTACACAGGGCATCCACTCTGGTGGCTTCTCTCTCATTTTGGGGCCTGGGGAGGGATGACAGGGTGATAAGAACAAATGTTACCCTCAACAAGAGTTTCAGAGATTCTTTATGGCTACAAGAAAACATTTCTGAGAAAATTGGTCAGGTTAAGAGCTGGATTTGGAATGAAAGCAAGTAGAGAAGGCACATTTGTCTGGAAAGTATCCTTGGGGACAGAATTTAGCACCCCAAGGAAACATCCTCCTTAGAAGAAAGAGGAACAGGAATTCAGAGGGTGACCAGGGAGAGGTCAACTCTGCTGATGGACAATCCGGATTTTAGGAGTAAGAATGAGTACCAGAAGATGCCTTGTTCCCGGGAGCAATGGACTCCTGAATTCCACCTCTGCTGAGGATGTGGTATCCCCCAGGACAGAAACAAAACAGATCACATATCTTAGCCCTGGGAGCATTTGCAATTACCCGCGGCAGCTGTTTGTCAAGGTGTCTCACCTGAGAGAGGTCAGTGTGCAGCCAGAGTAGAGGGTAGCAACGTTGGTCTTGTAGAACAAGGGTCCAAGCTGGTAAAGAAAAAGACAGGTGTGAGTTGGAGGGCCCAAGAGACTAGCGGGCTGTGAAGTCATGTAGGAGATGGGGCTTCCAGGGGGTCATCATGGGGTTCTCACCAAGCGCTGCAGGATCCTCTCAGTAAAGTTGAACTTTGAGGAGCCCAGGTATTCCATGTCATCCGTGTAGCGCAAGTTGGTGATGGTGAAGTTGAGGGTAAATGGAACTAAGACAGGTTCAGCAGCTGCATTGGGAAAGTAAGAGAAAGATGTTACCATTGCTTCATGGTAATGATGGGAAGCTCTAGAGGCTGAGTCATTAAGTTCTGTCTGTTAAACAGGAGGTTAGCTGTTTTGAATCCCTTGCCTGTCCATGGAAGAATTTTGTGGCAGTCAACTTCTGTAAAGTGTACAGTCTTGGAAACCCTACGAGGCAGTTCTATATTGTATCCTACAAAGTTATTTTTAGTTGAAATAAACTTGACAGAAAAGGGATGGTCTTGGTTCGGTTCACTACCGTTGCTGCTTCGGCCCTGTCTGGAAGCACCAGCAGTATACTAAGTACAAAGGTCGGCTGTAGGAGCTGAAGGAAGGAACATTCTGGAATTTTCAAGATGTTGGGAACCCGCACTCACTCATTCAGGGAGCATTAATTGAGTACTAACAGGAACAATAATGTATGGAAAGATCTATGCTGGGCTCTACGGTTTTGTAGATCAAAAAGATGCATTAGTTTTGTGGTTAGGTGCCATCATAAATATGGGATATTCCATTCAGTTGACTGGTAGCTGTCTTCTAAAAATGTTGGCATCGATAAATGAGTATTTCCAGTGTTGCATGACTGGTTAAACCAGCTCAGTGGATATCCCGCAATTCTTTCTTTTTTGACAGTCTTCATTACAACTTTGATTTCTTCTTTTAAGACTATAGGGTTTGTATGTGAACATGGTTCAACAACCACCATTTCTTTTTATTATAGTTAGTGACTTTGTATTCCTTCCGTGTTTTTGTTTTAATACTTTCTGCATCATTCAATATTTTGCCTATGGAATTTTACAGTACAGCAACACAAGGCTTGAATTTTTTTTCTTCAGTTCTACCAACTTGAGAAAGGCTGGGTATGTTCTTCCCTTTAATTTTCTAACTCTAGGTCTTCTCACATGTCGTTAGCAACTATACTTTGTCTCCTCACGTTGAACTTCAAAATCTTCTATTCATCGTTTCTTCGATTCCTTTGAGCTACTTCCCTTTCAAGTGCAGGTTTCAGGGTTTCTGTTGGCATCGCTTGTGAACCTTCCTCTCTGTCTTTTTAATGTGTTTTTGCTTTACTCATATATGATATCCTTGATGTCATTCTACAACTCTTCTGGTCTTCAGTCACTAGTGTTTTGTAATGTCAAATCTAACTTCAGATAGTGCCTAAAACCAGGTGGTATATTAGAATGCTTCTAAGAGTTTGTGGAAAATGTAATTAAAAGATAATACGTTTTTCCCCCCACAAATTTTAAAATGTTCCTTAATATACTCAAGACTATACTTTGACTCATGGAATAAGGCACAGTGTTCTGGAGCAAATTGTC